TGAAATTTCATTTGAGTTATCTTTATTGTTTAAATTATTATAATACTTATCGAATTAACATTTTCAAACATTTTTCTCATTAGTCTGATTAATGATTTTTTAAAAACATCCTGAACAAAAATAAATCAAAATTTAATATGGTACGATATATTTGTTTATTTGTCGTGATATCACAGAACGAAAGTTAATATATATATGTATATGTATACATATTTTTTGTCATTTTAAATAATTATTATTAAAAGTAGTATAATTTTCGCTCTGCTCTTTTCTTTCAAATGCCGTTCGCAGATGATAAAATATTAGACATTCCATGAATAAATAAATAAAATAATAATAAATTAAATAAATAAATAAATAGATTTTACTATACAAAAAGAGTACTCCGAAAGTTTTAGTTAAAATTTTACAACGGCAAATTATTTTTTCTATAGAAAGGCATTGCTTTATTGATATTTGACCCAAAGAATAAGAAATGAGCATTTAATTCTTGGATTGCTTGCTTTATTTTTTTTTCTTCACTAGTTTTCCTTTTTTGTGGTACCACAGGAATCCTGCATTCGGCATGAATGTTTGTTAGTGATTCGGAATCCACGTTAAACTGTAGGTCCCGGTCTAATTAACCAAAGGTGTACAAAAAATTGACCGTAGAGCAACAAACCGAACCAAAGCAAATCCATTTTTGTATACCACGAATAACTTACAGACAGATGATGAAGGGACGGTATTTCCTTCAGGGAGGAGTTTTTTAGGTTAACTGCCCTGCATTTTGATGTCATATGGGAGAAAACTACGAAAAAAAAAAAAAAAAAAAAAATGCTACCAAGCAGCCAGACTACCAACATTTGCTGTCGCAATCGCCATCGAGTATCTTTATTTCTGAAAGCATTGATTGCAATTGTCATCAGCAGATTGAACACGATTCTACCTACACGCTAGCAACGCATGCAGCTAGTACAGGGAAGATGCCGGAATCCGATTATCGGCAGACGTGAGTTATCTCAGTGTCGACATCGAATCTCCTGCTTTCTGATGGTAATGATTATAATTTATGTCACCTGCCTACTTGAACCCAAAACCTCTTGTATATATTAGTTGCACCAGTTGCCATTATGCCAAAATTTGAGCCATGTTGCCCGTTTGAGGTTAACATAACACTCACGTCATTGGAGGCATGATTTAGCAAAAGTTTTGGGATTGCTTTCATTCTTTTCCATGATATATTTTGATTTCCTTATTTTCTTATAAATATAATGGTTGTAGGCACACTGGAGTGTAATTTTAGCAAAAACATATTTAAGGAAGGGGCCTGAATGACTAGAGCGGCTATCTCTCTGGTGTTCGATACCACAGGTTTCAGATTCGAGTCCCGGCAATGCCATGGATGTTTATAAAGGTTCCGAATCCACTTTAAACCGTAGGTCCCGGTCTAGCATGATCGTAGAGCGTTGCGGGGGTATTGTTACTCCACGTCCGTAGCTTATCTTCAAGCTACACACATCTCCTTATGTTGTGCTTAAGTGAGTAACGTCGATGCAGCGTTTGACTTAAAGACAACTGTCTAAGTGTTTGCCAGCTGCATTAGAACAAAAAAATATATATATTTAAGGCAGTCCTTATTCTTTTTAATACAGTAGTTCTCAAACTTATTTGCCGTACGCCCCCTTTTGAGAAAAAAATATTCAGCGTCCGCCCCAACCATTCGTCTACATTCTTTAAGCGAATATACAGCTTGACAAAGTTAAAAAAAAAAAATGCATGCTTTTACGTATATCCACCTATCGCTTAAATTATAATATAAAGATGCTGTAAATAAGATATCTTGAAGATTGATGTTATAAAATTACTTGTTGAAATCAATTATAATCATAGTCAATCTCTTGCTTTTCTCACAGAAAATAAAGAAAACAAAAGATAATATGAAAATAAAAATTATGAATACATTAAATATTATCTTAATTCGATGGATGAACTTGGTTTCAATCCATGAATTAATCCTCGACACTATTTTTACCAGCATTTACATATTTTTAAATCACCATGCTTCATTACAGCGGTAGAATGAATATAAATGGAAGCATCTTAATTTGACTGGCATAATCGATCGACTGGATTATCAATAAAAGCTCCGAATTAATCAACCATTTTCTTGTATATCTCAACTAACAGCACCCTGGACAGCAATAACCAAAAACAACACGACATTAGCTCACCTCACTCAATTACAATTAGGCATTACAATGCACTAGGATCAATATTCCACCACTCCTACGCACCATGACAAGCACAAACTGGTCAATATTTAAAAATAAAACATCAAGAATCTTACCGGTAAGTCCAAACATAAAAAATAAGGTATAGTACACCATCCTTATATTCATCTGTTTAATCACCTCAATCAAAATCTGGCCAGCAAACCTTAAGAAATTAAAACCGTCCATCTGAAACTACGCCTGAACATTCTTAAAAGGTTAAAGAAAAAAAAAAAAAAAATTTTGTATTAATAAAAATTGATAACATACAAAATATCCATCCTTCAAGAAAGAAAACAACAACAACTCTGAAATCCTAAAAAAGAAATCAATCACGCATCCCTCATCTTACAACAGCGAGGATAAATCTCAAAGTTACAAGGCAATTCAATACAATACAAGACACATCTTAAAAAGAGCTGTAACAAATTTCTCCACAGGCTAAAGCCCCGAGGATAATTCCTTTAACAAATTAACAGGAAACTATACCTGATTCCTCTAATTCCCTACATGTATGAAATACGCAAATACAGACAAGACAAATATCTTTATTAAACATCTACAATTCTCTTTCCACAAAATCCTATGATGAACCGTTCACTGAAGAAATAGAATCACATATCCATAACTATTTAAAAAGCATTAATACAACCAAATTAACCATCCTACTTCCCAGTTTCCCATCAACTGGATTTAAATTATTAATTCCAAACTCACCATCGGTAAATCTCTTGGTCTTGAAAAAATTCTTCGCTACACAATTATTGGCCTGCTCATTAATGCAATAACCAATCTAAAACGCAAACACATACTTCTCCAACACGTGGAAAAACATAAATATAATAATCATATTCATATCTGGTAAGATAAGAAATTTCTTCAAATCTACAGGTAAATAAAACTCATCAGTAGTGTGGGAAAAATATTTGAGAAATTACTTAAATGAGAATCAATAGTCATTGCACTAGCAACATAAACGATATCACAAAATTCAAGCAAGTGATGCTTTTAATAAAAGGCACGAGAGGATTTGTTTTAGAAAATAATTTAGTATACTCAGGCCACTCTAACACCAAGCTTAAAGATGTATTTTGAGGTGAAATCAGCTCTTTCATTTCAAATATTCCTTTCATTACCGAATATTAAGGAATTCAAATCTTGCGTGAAATTTGGGACACTGTATATACTACCTCCAGAACAATTCGGTTTCCGTGAAAAACCGCTTAACTAATCATCAGCTGTTCAGGATGGTTAATACCATCACCACAACCACAAACTATTAAATGGTGGAATTTTCCTGGATGCCAATCATGGTTTTAATCGATTGTGGCACAATGGCCTCATATTTTAACTCATTCAACTGGACTATCTAAGAAATCTCATTCTAATCCTCAACAAATTTCTAAGAAATAGATGATTTTAGATTTAAATACATGGAAATTTTTTAAAATTTGGTTAAAAAAGTCGGAGTAGTGAGTATCTGAGTCCATTTTACTTAAAATATGCACTTGCAATTTCCCTACCTTATCTCTAATCACTATTTACTTACTATTTACATTATTACTCTTTTCACTATTTACATTATTACTCTTTTCATTATTTACAGATAGTGATTTGCCTTAACACAAAAAGCTAATATTAATTACATTATCTCATACTTTTAAAAACTTCTTTGGTGGGCTTAAGAATGGCTAACTAAATGGAGAATCTCTATCAATATGGAAAAATCAAATACAATTATCTTCCGATAAGAGCACATTGCAGGAAACTACAACTAAACTACGTGGTTTAACAAATCGATTAGCTGGGTAAAAGAAGCCAAATACTTCGGACTGATCTTAGAGGGTAAACTAATCTTTAGAAGTTATATTAAAGAAAAATTTTAGAAGAAGATTCACCTTAGTTTACCTTTTGGCAGATATTCAATTATTTCTCTGAAATACCCTTATCCTTTATAAATAAGAAATAAGGCCATTCTTTTGTATGCTACACCAATGTGTAACCAAACAATTAGACCTCCAAAATAGAACCCTAAGAATCATTATCAACGCATTTATTTCTATCGAGAAGTGTTATCTATAACGATTTAACAAAGATGTGAAAACGTACATCACAAAATTATACATAAAATTTTTTACAAGCATCATTAATAATACAAATAATATGCTACTTATTAAAGCTCAAATCTTCTTCTCTTATAACAACTGAAAACATAGATATCCATACTCACCATATCGATAAAACCACCATATTAGCCCATGCATCTAATCTGCCACAATTATTCTGCAGCATACATAGATTATTTTTCTATTTCAATTCCTTACAGTATTTTCTTTTAAAGCACTCTTTTTTTGGTTCACTAATCAATAGCTTTCTTATTTTTTTTCCTAATTATATTGTTGTAACTCATGATTATAAGCCATTCATATTTATCCTCACTCTCAAATTGAGCAAAAGTGCTTTGAACATTAGAACTCGAGAGTCAGTATTTAATATTAGACCACGATTCGCTATTATCAGTAGATTTCTTTCTTCTTCATTTAACAGCGGCCTGATGGCCAATTGGCTAGAGCTCTGTCTGCTGGTACCACAGGCTTCAGGTTCGAATCCTGGCGGTGGCATCGATGTTTGTTAGTGATTCGGAATCCACGTTAAACTGTTGGTTCCGATCTAATTAGCCCAAAGTGTGCAGAAAATGACCGTAAAGGAACAAACTAAACCAAACCAATCTACATTTAACAAATTTGTCTACCGGTTCTCGTTAGATCACCGAAGTCAAGCATCATTGGGCGCGGTCAGTACTTGGGTGGGTGACCACCTGTGAACACCGCGTGCCCGTTGGCATTCACACATTTGGGACTTGAATGGCCAAGTGTCTAGCGCTCTGGTGCTCGGGGCCCCAGGTTTCGGGTTCGAATCCCGGCGGTGCCATGGATGTTTGTAGTGGTTCGGAATTCACTTTAAGCCGTAGGTCCCGGTCTCCTATGACTGTAAGAGCGACACGGAGCAAAAGTCAGGCTTCTACCTACGGGTGCTCCATCACAACAGAAGCTGCTTCCTTCCCCTTCAATCATGAGTACATATGGGCTCGTGGGCTTGGCCAGCCAAGTGGGATAAGAAACAACAACAACAACAACAACAAATTTGTGGTCACACTATACCCACGTTCCAATAATATGATAAAGGAAAATAAAATGAAAAATGTTTATATTATAGTGTATAATCCAGAATAAACTGTGTGTATTTGCTTTTTGGAACTTTTACACAATAGGTGAACAATGCAGGAATAGTTTTTCTAAACTTTCTATCTTCTCTTTTTATTCTTTCACCGCCCTTTTGATTTGTATTAAACGGCCGCCAAATGCATCTGGGGCTTCACTCCTTGAACTGTCCCCTAGGGGGCGGTTTCCCCTACTTTGGGAACCAGTGTTTTAATAGAAGAAATGTATATTGATTTTTTAGTGATTACATACAATTCAAAATCTTTCCAACAGGCTAATTATATCATTTTCCCTGTGATGGATATTTACAATACTCATTCTTAATCAGAAGTAATTATAAATAATTTCGAAAGTTTTATTTATATAATTTAAGAGTCTCTTTTTTTTATTTCATCAAAGCAATGGTAGTTTGGGATAATTTGAACTGTATAAAAAATATCGACACTTGACAATTTGTTTTCTTTCAATGCAAGAATTGATTGGAATACTACAAGAATGGCCAAATTCAATCAATCAATTTCTATTAATCAATTCCAATCAATTGCTTCATATATCTTCTGCATTATTAAACATTAGCATATTCCTAAGTTTATTCATCCGTTCTCGAATGTTCACACATGATACATGGACGGCCAAAAAACGTGTTCCATGTTAACATTTACTCTCAATAATAAATAATAAAATATTAAAATAAGCAAACTTATCTTGTTCAACTTATATTTGTGTACATAAAGTATTAAAAAAAAACTCGCGCACAAATTATAGGCGGATAACGGATCTTATAAATTTGTGTATGAAGTAAGTATTTGTCGTGCCTGTTGCATCAAGTTGCTCTTGCAAGCATTTGTTCAAGATTAAAATACAATCAAAACTACAGAAATTTACACCAATTGGATGATTGCAAGCAATAACAATTACATAATTAACACAGTTTTGCCCCCAAAGGTTTTTTTATTGCTGTTTAATATTAATAGCTGCAATTATTTAGTTTCCTATATTATTTTAAGTTTTAATGTATTTTTGTAAGAAGTAAATACCGTGCGTTGTGTAAATCTATTGCAAAGTTTAATGCGCCGTATTTTATAATATTTTGTGTGTCAAATGATAGATAGTATATTCAATGATAGATTGCATGTTTACCTAATGACTTTTACATTATAGTATCTTAATCTTTTATTATGGTTAGACTCATGTCAAATTCAATTTATGTTTTAAAATAATATAAATTGAAAGCACCGTGCAATCAGGAATGCACAGAATTTTATTTAATGAATTTTACTTAGAATCGAATTATAATGATTATAGGTATAATGACTATACTTAGAATCGAATTATAATGATTATAGGTATAATGACTATACGTAGAATCGAATTATAATGATTATAGGTATAATAATTATACGTAGAAACGAATTATAATGATTATAGGTATAATGATTATACGTAGAATCGAATTATAATGATTATAGGTATAATAACTTACACGTAGAATAGGTATAATGACGAATTTATAATGATTATAGGTATAATAATTACACGTAGAAACGAATTCTAATGATTATAGGTATAATAATTATACGTAGAAACGAATTGTAATGATTATAGGTATAATAATTATACGTAGAAACGAATTATAATGATTATAGGTATAATGATTATACGTAGAATCGAACTTAGTACAATAGAACTAGTGAACTTATCAAAAGTCATACGCTGAAAATGAAAAAAAAAAAAATAAATAAATAAAACAATGTCATGTGGCCAAAAAAAAAAAAAAAATAATAGTTTATTGGATTATTTACTAATAAGATCACAGATATTAGTTGATTATACTTATACGATAAACAGAAACAGGAATTTTTTTTTTATACATAAACAACAAGATTATCAACGTATAAATTAAAATATGCAATGTATATGTAGAAAATATGTCATACAAGCGTTATAAAGGTTTTTATTCATTTTATAAGATTACCATGCTTTAAAGAGGTTGTGATTATTAAGTTTTGAATTGCTATCAAATTATAACACACTTGAACAGATGTCCATTTGTCATGATATTTTAAATGTGTTTTTTTTTTTTTTCGTTCTAATGCAGCTGGCAAACACTTACACAATGATATTTTTTTAAATGTCGGCATGTAGGGAAAGTTATATAAAAAAAAAAAAAAAAAAGCTTGTTGGCAAAAGTATTTTTATTTTTTAATGCATTTTCAATAAAATCGAGGCATTATTATTTATAACGAGTGCAATCTCTAACTCCCTGCTTATGCAAATATAAAATACACAAGAAAATTCCATGGGCAAAATAGACTAAAGTAATCCAAGAGTAAACAATTTTGTGTTGTCATTTAAAGGCATCGTCATATAATTTATCATTTTAGTTATGTGAAATGCTTTCTCTATAACAATTGGTAAAGGTTTGTTTTCCAATTTCTGAAGTAGATTAAAAAGAAAATAATAATCTGATGGTTCTTTACTTCTTTATCAGACAGGCAATTAATCACCTTGCAAAACTTGTTATTGATAGCAATTTTTCGTTGTATCCTCGGTTTTGAGCAACGCAAGCGCCCATTGTGCTGTATTGACTTATCCCAGCACGAATGAGACGGGGCCCAAACGGAGGGACTCCATTTTTCATCTTCGAAGGAGAGAGACACTTTGTTTTCGGGATAACGGATCGATGGCCTCCTAGCGCCCAAGAAAATAACAACCCCAAGAAGATTTCGGGTCTGTTTCCGCTGCATTTTATTGTTGAAAATGACAGGAGAGATCGGCAGAAACTTCTTCCCCTTTTTTTGTTATAAGAATAATATGGTGCAGGCAATTTTACTTTTATTCCATAAAAATATTCAATATGATTTGGGTTTTTTTTTCTCACACTTTTTGATTATTAGATCGGGACCTATAGTTTAACGTGGATTCTGAACCATTAACAAACACCCATGCCATCGCCAGTATTCGAACGGGAAGCCTGTGGTACCAAAGACCAGAGCGTAGGCCAATTGGCCATCAGGCCGCCATGAAATATTCAGGCCACAAAATATCCACTAAGAAGTTGCATACGAAAATCGCATCGATTTAATTTTGAAAAATAAGGAATTGTGCAATGCGGAATTGCAAGGATACTGTCATTTGTGCAATAAGTAATTGCAAGGGTACTGCAATTTATGCAATAAGGAATCGCAAGGGTACTGCAATTTGTTGAAACTGAAGCAATTAATTAAAATATATTTAATGTCACAAAAATTATTATAATTTAATTCACTTAAAAATAAAGTTTTTGATTTATTGTTCATTTTTCCTTTCTAGTTGTGGTTATCTAACATTTTTTTTTATCTTATTGCATTATACATATAAAAACAACGTAATGAATTTTCATTAATCACCTGGTGGTTTATAATATTTTTATTATAAAATAAAAGCACAAAAAATATTCAAATTCATACTTTTCTGGTTTTAAGGTGTAACATTTACATCACTGATGCGCAAACGATTTTCATTTCCGACTCCTACTTTGCGTAAAAATTGTTGGAGCCCTAAATGGACAGTAGACTTTTTTAATAGTCAACATAGTTAAAGTAAAATTATTTTCATTTATTTGAGATTTTGACTCTGCCTCGTTAGAGCACAGTACTGTTGCACTGTAGCCATATATTTAAAATGTATGTTACGCACGTATCCGACTGCAAATTTTACTCATATTACAAAAGTAGCATGTAATCAGATTTACAGAATGCACATGAATGAACTTAAAAAGCAGCAAAACCGAACTACTGAGGAATAGACAGAGAGCTGCACAGTCCTCTCTTTGACCACTGTATAAATAGCAGGGAGGGGGACAAATATGGAATGAAAAAGCTGTCGAAAATATTTCAATCACTAAACGACAGACCTACTCAACTTGCGTTTGAATCTCATCAGAGACCAGGTAGAGGACATGTCAAATTGTTAACTATATTTTATCACTAATGTCTGTCCGCCTGTCATTTGCCGAAGTATAGGTATTCTATACTAATACAGATTATTATTTTCTTAATAGAATATAGCTCTATTTTTTATAAATAATATGTTATTTCACTGTCTTACTGTTACCTGATACATGTCAAAGAAAAGCCTTTTATTTATTTATATTATCTTTTATAACTGTGTCTGTTTATTAATATTATCTTTTATCAATGTGTCGCCTGCCAATTGCCGAAGTATAGGTATTCTATACTAATACAGACTATTGTTTCCATAATAGAATATAGTTCTATTTTTATAAATAATATTATCTTATTTCACTATTACTTGTTGAAGAAAAGCCTTTTATTTATTTATATCTTTTATTACTATTATCTTTTATCCCTATGTTTGTTCACCTGCCAATTGCCGAAATATGATTATTCTATACTAATAAAGACTACTGTCTTCGTATTAGAATATAGGATTATTTTTAAAAATTACATTATTTTATTTCACTGTTACTTGTTGAAGAAAAGTCTTTTGCTTATTTATATCTTTTATTATTATTATCTTTTATCACTATGTTTGTTCGCCTGCCAGTTGCCGAAATATGGTTATTCTTTACTAATACAGACTATCGTTTTCGTAATAGAATATAGTTCTTTT